ACTCCTCAAGACCTCAAGTCTGGTTTTCGGATTTAAAACAAACACCAATAGCAATTACACGGCTCTGGGAGAGCCGGCCATGACAGAGCAGGGTAGAGTTTGTTCAGGCAACTCCTTTTGCTTGTCCAACCCTCGGGACTAGATGCCCGACTGCTGGACACATGTCATAGAAACCTCCCCATGGGGGTGCTTGCTCTGCCCATTGGCTTCTCTGAGGCATAGAGGAGCTCACACTGATACCTTAGATCCTGCCATTCCAATATACTGACATGCTAGTAGGCTTTAAGCCACTCAGGAGTCCCTTCTGACTCAGAAAGGGACTACCTGTCTGTGCAGATGGCTTCATCTGCTCATAAAGGCTGGATGATGTGTATGAGCCTTAAATAAAGATGAGAGGGAGGGTGTGGCCAGACGCATGGCTACCTGGGTGGACATTTAATGGAAGGAACAGACAGGTACTGTCCCTTCTCCTGGCCTCAGCATGTTCGCAGGGGCCAGCTGACTGCTGAGGTCCAGGAAGGTGCTATTTACATCCATGATGGCATGGGCAGCAAAGGCATGGACTCACACACCAGGGAATTATACTGAAGGTGAAAGTCCATGACCCAAATTTAAAAATTTAGAGGTAGAAAAAGTACCATCCTTCCTGAGATGCATTTTTACTGGGGAACATTTATTCATCCAATGAACGTATCAGCTACTCACGGGGGCGGGGGTGAGGATGACCCTACTGAGATTTCAAAGACAGCTCATCAGGAGGTGAATTGGGCAGAAAAAGAGCATAGCACATGGGGCTCAGTCACTTGAGTTCTAAACGTCAATTGAGTGCCAGTGGGACCCTCAGAAGCGAAGTGGAAGTGGTCACTCTGGGAAGAGACAAGACATGAAGGGCATCTCCCTTTTCGTTAGGATGTCCCCATGCTGGTTTTCCAGGCAGGATGAGGAACACACAGAAGGCTCAATGAATTCAAGGCTGAAGAAAGTGCCAGCAGCTTGGCCTCTGTCCTGTGTGATACTCCCCTGCCCCACTGAGTCTTCAGAAGAGAGAGTAGGGTGTGTGCCTTGGTCACCTGGTACCGCCAGCCTACCATGGTGCCGGCCCCATGTAGGTTCTCAGTGAAGGAGATGGGTGGAACTCAGTGTGGCTGCTGGCCTTTGACCCTGGCCCGGCAGTAGAATTCTCTGGAGAGTTAAAAGCATTTATTTCACCTCTGGGCCCTCAGCCACAGAGATTCTGTTTGGGAGTGGCCTAAGATGCTAATTTTGGGTCACTCCATGGGGAATCTACTGTGCTATCACCCTTGGTGACTCTGGCATAGAGGAGTTAGAAAAATGCAGAAGGAAGAAAGGTAGGTAAAGCATCCAGGAGCTTTTTGCCTCCGAACACTCCAGCTCTCCCCTCAGAGCCAGCCGGGGCTCAGCTGTGTGGTCACCTTCATCTTGCAGCTGTGTGGTCATGCGTCATAATGCTCACCTTTGCTGTAGTTCTTCAGGATGTAACTTCCATGGGGCACGGTGTCTAGTAGGTCTCTGACCAGGGCTGTGGGTAGACTCTGTTGGGCAGGAAAAGAGACAAGCAGAGACCTGGTGGGAATTCCGAGTAGGTTGTTGCAGAGTAAGACAGAGGGGCTTCCGGAAGCTAGCCTGATAAGGAGGAAGGTGCTGCATGGTGGTAGCCATGCCAGGAAGAACCTGGGGAGACACCGAAGATGTGGGTACCCCCCAGTCACTTTCCAAACAGTCGTACTTGAAACCATTATGTACCCTGAAACTCATGCGATGCTTTTGATTTGATTTGATCCTTACACAGTTTTTATCAAGCATCTGGCACTGCCAGGGGCACAGATGCCAGGTACTGAAACAGGCAGCCACTGGCCTTTAGTAGTTCAGAGCTATCATGTGGAAAACATCCACAGGGTATGGTGTGGGAAAGGGAGGAAAGGGAGGGCAAAGTAGTCTTCAAAGAACAGTGCTGGGAAGAATACCACCTGGCCAGGCATCTTTCCACTTTACCCTCAAGGAGCCCAGCAGGGCAGAACTGTTATTATCCTCATTTTATGGATGAGAAAACTGAGGTTCAAAGAAGTTGGGCAAGTCATCCTGGTTCACACACTTAGTAAATGGTGACTTAGGGTTTGCCACCAGTCTGCCTGACTCCAAAGACCACACTGAAACCCCATGATGCTGTGTTGCCTCTGAGTTAGTTGCTTTTCTCGTTGTTGTGATCATGCCTGATAAGGAGCTGGTTGAAGGAAGATATGTCTGTCCACTTTGGCTCATGGTTTGAGGGAATACAGTCTATCGCTCTGGGGAAGGCGTGGTGTTGGGTGCCCCTGTTGCTATGGGAACTGATAGCAGCTGCTTGTTCATATCAGTGGACCAGAACACAGGGATGGAAGAGGAAGGGAAGCCAGGTGTAAATCTAAATTTCTTCCCACCCCATGGACTCAGTTTCTCCAGCAAGACCAACTCCTAAAGGTTACACAACCCCACCAACACTACACCATGAGGCTCAGTGTTCGAAAGTTGGGGGAACTTTATATCTAAGCTTTAACAACTGGAATTTAGCTAGTGACCAGAGTCAGAGTGAGCACTGTGGAGGGGGGGGGGTACATCAGTAGGATCTGAGGATGGGAGAAATAGCACCCCCATATGTTAGGGAATTGGGGCTGGGGAGTGATCAGGGCTGAAACTGGAGGGGCAGGCAGGAGCTCGACATGCAAGGGGGCTTGCATCAACTAGATGTTGATCTTCACCCTGTCTTTACAGCCGAAACTTCTAAGGCAGCAATGTGTCATGGGCTGCAATATGAACAGTAACAGGGCTAAGTTCTGTGCATTTCTGCTTAGAGAGATCCTCCAGCAAGAGTTTGAGGTCTGATAGAGAGAACCCTCCAGCGAGAGTTTGAGATCTGGGCTGGGAGCTTGGTGGGAGGTGAATCTGGAAACATAAGATGTATTGATGAGGAGACTTTGGATGTTCCAGAGAGTGGATGGGTACCTGCTCCCTGGGTGAGGACAGGAGCTGTGAACAGTCTACCGAAGAGGCAGGACTTACCTGGTCACAGCTGCAGTCTGAGAGGAAAGAAGCCAAGAAATTGGCTGCAAGGATGTGGCACCAGGGTCTGGTGTAGAAGGGAGACAGGTGCAGGTGAACTTGAGACAAACGGATCACACTGGAAGTCTCTGTAGGGCCAAGAGCGTGGCATGTGGCACTCTCACCAGTGAGTCACTGGGAGGCAGCCATTGGTGGGACTATAGAATGGCCAAGGTCCTGGAGGGCAAGGGTCAGGAGGGCAAGGGTCAGAACTTTCTCTTTCAAGGGCAGTTGAGAGAGAGGGCTTTGCCAAAGATGGAAATCACACTCAGACCAGCAAGATAAGGCCAGAGAAGTGGCTGTGGGATTTAGAAACAGAGAGAGGGTGATGACGCGGAGCCTGATGCATGGGGTGTGAACAGAAACCAGAACGTGGCAGGGGACGGGTGGGTGGGACCTGAGGAAGTGACCTTGAAAGGGAGCATTGGTGGCTATGAAGTAAAAAGGGGAGGGTGTAATTTGGTCTCTCTAATAAAAGGAAGTTTAGTTCTAACTGGATTGATTTGGGGGCATATATGGAAGAGTGTCTTCATAGTGATAAATTCAGAAATCAGATGACAACCCAAAATGTGAGTAATGAATCTCTGGAGGAAAAGGTGGGAAATTCAGTGAAGAGGCACATTCTTCTAATTGGGGGACTTGTCGGATAGACCACCAGATGCCAAGAAGCAGCGGGTGGGCAGGGTGAGTGTGACTCCGCGGTCATCCTGAGGATTCTAGACAAGGTCCTGTACACAATGTAAACAGAAGTGGCTACCCGACCCTCTTCTCCAGCATCCCCCCACATCTTCAGACTGAAGGTGGGGGTTTTCATTCCCAGACCCTGACTTCAGCAAGCCAAGAGAGGCACCTCCAAATGCTAAGATTCACCTGGGAGGTGACTTTGCACGGGGGCGGGGGGGGGGGGGCGGGCAGAAACCGAGTAGAAAGTGTACATCAGCCATCCTATTTCAACAGAGAGTTGGTCCCATCCCTTTGAAAAAATGTCTAGTTTCTGGAGGGGAGAATCACTCCCAAGCCTGGTGTCCACTCTGATGCTTACCAGGCATGCCAGGGAAGTGGGCACTGTAGTGAGGCCCTTCATTTACTTTACAGGAAGTCTTTGTTGTTTGTGACTTGCTCAAGGGAGCGTTGAATGACTCAGACACCCACATTTCTTTTGAGCCCTTCACACAGGTTTGTGGGTTCTTGGGAGTTCAGTAGTTGGGTTAGCATTGAAACCAAGGGAATGAACTAGCTTGTCTGCTCAGCACGCCGCGGTACGCCATGGGAAAGGACATGGCTTTCCAAGAACCTTAGGTAGACTTATTTCTGGAATTCAAACAACTTTTTCAAAACATCAAGGTCCTGATATAATGTTAGCTATAAAATGGCAGAACAGATTGTTATTGGAAGTTGGCCTATGTATTAGCTTTTTCTTTAAAAAATTATATAAATTAATTTTTAATTTTAAATAAAATATAATCACATCTTTTTCTGCCTTTCTGTTTCTCTCTCCAACCCCTCTCATACCCCTCCCACCAACTTCTCCCATGCTCCTCACTCCCTCTCAGATTGATAGTCTCTTTGATTTTTATTTATTTTATTTGATGGTTTATTTTCTTTGATTACTATTGTTATAGGCACATATGCTGCATAAAGATAGAACTATAACCCACAGACTCCATTTAATGTTGCTTGTGTATCTATGATTCCAGGACAGACCACTTGTTACTGGGGAACCAGTTAGGGCCTCTCCTTCTCTTAGCAGTTATTCTTTGCCTGTGGTTCTATGTCTGCGGGTGAGACCCTGTGAAATGTCCTCTTGTCATGTTAGCGTGTCTATTGGTATTGTCATTTGTCAGTCTTGTTTAGACAGACATATTGTTGTACTATCATGACTGTAGTTTCTCTGTCATTTCTAGGAGACAGCCTCACAGCAGACTTCTTGTTCCTCTGGCTCTTACAATGTTTCTGCTCCCTAGTCCAAGATTTTCCCTGGACCTTAGGTGTAAGCATTGGGTTGCAGATGTATCCAATGTGGCTAGAAACCCCACCATCCATAGATCTCTGCAGTTTGACTCACTGTGCTTTTCTGTGATGGTCTCTGCTGCAAAGAGAAGATTTTTTGATGAGGAGTGAGACCTCCACTCATCTGTGGCTGTAAGGGTAAGTTTTAGGATATATTTAGGGATTAGGCTGGTTTAGTGAAGTGGTAGTGTTCTTTCTAAGACCCTTGTTCTCACTAGCCCCAGATGGTTGGCTAGATTTCTATTACCAGGCTCCCTCATGGTGAGCTAGCCTTATGTCCAACTAGAGAACTGTTGGTCACTGCCAGGATATGAGTGCAAGTGTCGCTCTTTCAGGGATGTTTTGCCATGCTCGTTACAATGGTTCATGGGTCGGTTAGCTATTTTAACATCACTGAGACGAAAGGAACCTAGCAGATAGATAGTTCATGAGAGGAAAGATGATCTCAAAAGGTTTCATCGTGGCTATACTTGAGAAGCAAAATGGAGTGAGGATGGAGTGACAGTCTGTGGTGGCGAAAACAAGTGGCAATGGCTGTCCCCACCGCAGTGGGCCAGGAAGCAGTGAGAGCAAGAGCAGTCTAGGTATGCTCTAAAAGACCCACTCTTAGTGACTTACTTCCGTCAGCCAGGCCCCAGCTTTTAAGGTTCTGCAGAAGCCTAAAATAACACACTCAAGAAACAAGCACTCAAGTGAGCAACCAGTGAGGACATTTCAGATTCAAACCATGCCAACTGGCGGTGGCATAAGAGGGATGTAGATTCCCACATCATCAGCATTCTTGTTGGAGGGAGTGCTTTCCGATGACATAGGCCAAATTTAACATGCCACTGACACCTGTTGTATTTGTTAAGGTGATGTTTTCTGCCCAACAGGTAAAGCCCTGTGTTCAATGATTTCAAAATTACAAGTTTTTTTTTTAATACATATAAAGTCTGAAACTTTTTCTGGTCATAAAGGGCTTTTTTCCAAGTGGGTGTCTAAGGGGAGCTGACTTTTCTCTCTCTGGCTTTAAACTACCTCACCATGTAGTTCCTAGGGTTGTGGGGCTCTGGAAGGGAAAGAAGAGCAAACAGGATCTTGGGATGAGGTGAGGCACTTATGGGTCAATCTTGGGATGAGGTGGGGTGCTTATGGGTCAATCTTGGGATGAGGCGGGGTGCCTATGGGTCAGTCTTGGAATGAGGCGGGGTGCTTATAGGTCAGTCTTGGGATAAGGTGGGGTGCTTATGGGTCAGTCTTGGGATGAGATGGGGGTGTTTATGGGTCAATCCTGGGGTGAGTCTTGGGGTGGGTGGGACACTTAGGGATCAGTCCTCAGAGGATTCTAAGTCCCTCCTGCTCCTGCTCCTACTCCTGCTCCTGCTCCATAAGGGTATACCTAGTTACCAGTGCTCCCACAACTGCAAGGAATAGCCCAGGAGGCAGGCACCACCAGGCTGGAGGTCAGCTAGTTTATCCCCGCCAGGCCCACCATAACTAAAATGTCACCTCTCAACTGAGTGTCGATGGGTGTGTCAGTCACTAGCCTCCTTGGCTCTTCATTGAGCTCTTATTACCTCAGACCCTGCTATGTTGGGCTGATGAAGAAGGGATGTGTGGGAGCATCATGCATCGGGGACTAAAGGAAAGCTGGTCTTCGACTTCTGTACAAGGCGGTCTGTGTACCCGTGGCCGTATGTACTTCATGTGGAGCACTATGCTAATGGTGCTTAAGAACTTGGCTTTTGAACTTGGCTGTGGGGCCTCCACATTGGAAGCTTCCTGACTCAAGCCCTATGGCCTTCAGTAAGCTGCTGACTTCCAATCCTTTGAAACACGAGCATGAGGTGTCTAACAATGCCACGGTTTGTTACCGTAATTAACCACTTCAATACACAGCGAAGCTGTTAATACATTGCCCGGGACCTCACTGATGCTCATTAAATGCCAACAATTATGTTCTCAGAGAGTGAAGACTCACTCTAATTCCTGAGCCACAAACTGTAGAGGGGGGCTTGTGCCGGGTGCCAGAAGCAGGGGGTGAAACATGTCAGTATGGGGACTGATTGCAGTCAAGGTGGGTCCAGTGTGCTGTGAAAATCTGTGGGAGGGACTCAGCCCATTTGGGGAAGACCCTGGCGTGGGGTGTGTCAGGAGGACAGGAGGCTAGGAGCACATGAGTTATCGGACGAAGATGAGGTCAGAACTGTTGCCCACCCAAGACTGGCAAAGTCTGGTATGTGAGGGAGCCCGCACTGCCTTACCAATAACCAGCTTCTTTGCGTGACAATAAGATTCTGATGAATCAAGGGGAGTCAGAGGTAGCATCTTTAAAGTGGTTGTTGGTCAATGAAGATATGTTGAAACTCGATTGAGGGACAGAACTGTGGCAACACAGCCGGTGTTTGCACACACCAAAGACTGTACCTTCTAGGCTGACCCAGATGTGTCTCCAAGTTGCTTTCAGGATTCTGCTCACACAGGCTGGAGGGTTCCCTGGTTCCAGAGGAGCAGTTGCCAGTGGTACTATGCAGGGACCACAGGGACTGGGGGATTGGAGTATTCTCCCAGGTGAGGGTGGTGGGTGGTGGCTTTGGAGACTAGCACTAAGGATCCTGTACCCCATTTTCCCAAGGTGTGTTGAAATTGGATTTTATAGGTGCCAGGTGGGAGGAAATATGTCAGGATGAGATCCTGTGGAAAAGGGACAAAAGACAACAATGGGAACGTAGTAGATGAGCTTCTAGAAGCTTCTTGGGCCTAGATGAGATATAAAGGGAAAAAGGAGAGAAACCTAGATAACTTTGAAAATTGTTTAAAGTCATGGCACATCACCAAATAAGAACCAATGTATTTCTCCCGTTAATGTAATAGTTTATTTTATTTGCTATGGTTTAAAAAATCGGCTTCACTGAAAATGATGCTACTCATTCTTCACCCTGGTCTCGGGCACCTCTACTCTTGGGTGGTGGTCTTTCTGGTTTTGTTTTGTATGGATCTGATTACTTGTTGTTTCTGCAATGAAGTATGAATAACATTAAATTTACCATTTTAACCATGTTTATAAGTGTACAGATCAGTGGTACAAAGGATGCTCACATTGTGGTCCAGCCTTCACCACCATCCGTCCACAGAACATTTTCATCAGCCTACACTGAAACTCTGTATTTTGTTAAGGGCTTCCCGTCTCTTCTCCCTCATACCCTGGCCACCTCCATTTTCTTATGGTTTTGCTTTATAGTCGAGGCAGGCCTTAAACCGTGATCCTCCTGCCTTAGCCTCTTCAATGATGGGATTATGAATTATAAGCATGCCCCACTCCGTCCAGCTTCTTTCTACTTTCTGTCTCTGAACTTGATTATTACAGGTAGCACCCACTAGGTAACTGAGAACACAGGTTTCCCTAATGGATTCACTGCTGGGGTTCTATAAGCACAGACCAGATGTGGCATGTCCTTCCCGTGTGCATGATTTCTTTTGTTGTGGTTTTAAAGGTTTTTCTTGAGGACCTTGTGAAGTAGCCTAGCCTGGTCTCTTGCATGATTCTCTTTCCTCACCCTCATGGCTGCTGCAATTCAAGGCAGGCCCTTCTATGCCTAGCTCCATTCTCTTTCCATCGCTGAACTTGCTTGCTGTGGTATTGCCAGCTGTTCACCTTGAGACAAGCAAGCTAGCCTTCAGGAAACTAGGAGTTTGAGATCCCAGTTTTCCTGGGTGATCCCAAGTGTGTGGTCACCAGCCCACAGTCCTGCAGAGCAGCCTGCCGAGTGTTGGGAGCAAAGATGGACTCAGTATATGGGGAGATATGTATGCTATCTTGCTGGCCAAATACATACGGTTCCACCAGGGGATCACATCAGACGTGTGACATCATAGCCAAGGCGTAGGTGGATAGCACATCGTTTCTGTCCCACACTGCCATGGAACGACATGACACTTGGGTTTTTAGTGTTGTTAATGTTATTGTTAGTTTACAAATTATTTGCGAAAGTGTCCCTCAGTTTGGTCTAGAAGTCACTATGTAGCCGAGGTTGTCTTTGAACTTCTGGAAACTCCCTCCCTTAGCCTTTGGAGTATAGGCATCGCAGACGTGAACTACCATGTCTGGCGAATGACACGCTCTTTGGAAGGGGCCCTGCCACACTGATCTTAGAGTCCCTGTGGTCTGGGAAGCAGAGAAGCTGAAAGGGAACTTACCTTATGGAGATTTAAGCCCCACTAGTCCATTGCTGGCAGGGTTTTATGCAGGACTGTTCTTTCTTTCCTGCAGGAAAGAGCCAGTGCTGTGGTCCAGGTGGGCACTGGTGACTGAGACCTGAATACCCAGCACTGGGCATAGCTGGGGAAAGCATGAAGCCATGTCTTAAGCTAAATACAACAAGCAGGGGAAAGATACTCCTGGGTTTGGGGCATGTCAACAGGAGGGAGTTACCTGAACTGTGCATGCGTCCTGTAAAATGTTTGGGAACTAGATAAGGATGCACTAATCCTTCCTTGTTGTTCAGGATGCTGTAACACAAGAAGCTTTGCCCAAGGATGTCAGAGGCTACATAATGTAACCAGCGTAATTGGGGGCTGGTTGGAAGGATGTGAGCAAGTACACACGCTATTTCTGTTACATGGAGCCCACCCATGGAGGCTGAAAGTGTGGGTCTCACCATGAGAGCATGTTCTGTATCTGCCCATATAGTATCTGATGGGGCTACTTATCCTGGAACCTCTCTTTTCCCTGTCAATCACAGGCACATGAGGGAGTCTGTGGATGTGTGAAGGGGTTTGGGTAGCATTAAAGCTACCCCAGCAGGGCTGAAGGAAGGGCCCCACAGCAACTGAAGCTTCACCTTCCTCACACGGGGATTCTCCTAGGAGGCCCTGAAGAGAGGTTTAGCTGGGGATGTGGGGTGCGGCCAGAAATTCTTGGGGAAGAAAAATTTAAATATACGTATATACATGATAACATCCACACATGTGTGCCTATAGATACACACATTCTCCCAGATACGTAAACACATGTAAAATAGCGACCACAAATAGCAAAGTTATAAGTACATTATACAGAAAGGAAAAAATGGGCATGTTTTGAGATGACCTCTTTTTATGATCCAAGGGGGGAAGGGAAGGAAGGAGGGAGGGAAAGAAGAAAGGAGGGAAAAAGA